CTTCTTCTTCTTCTTCTTCTTCTTCTTCTTCTTCTTCCTCTTCTTCTTTTTCTTCTTCTTCTTCTTCTTCCTTACCGGCTGTGAACTGGAGGAAAAGTTATGGTTGCTTATCCACTTCTAGACTTAATATTGGCCATCTACGTGTAATGTCTCCAATCAGTTTACATTTTCACACTCTCAAGGGCGACTGCCTAGTTCACCCCCTCCCCGCCCTCCCCCAACCCCGCCAATCCCAGATATGCTGGTGTGAAAGACAATGAGAGAGCAGACACTCTGGCTGAGAGTGTGACTATCAGGAATGGGCCTTATATGGATAGGCGAGATATTTCATCAGTGCCATATGAGAGACTAAACGCTATGAGGCTTTCAGTTTCATGGGCCTTTGACACCTTTTGAGGTTTCCAGATCAGACAGGAAACTGTGGTAGCGGCACTTGATTTAGAGTTTAGAGGATGTTTACATCATAGTCAGATACACTCTTGATGAAAGCGCTTATGGAGAAGGGAGTCTGTCCTTGGTTAGAGAAATGAATAGCAGCCGTTTTGTATACTCGCTATGTAGCTCTCTGCCTGGGTTCACGGACCTCTGAACCATGTATTATAGCTCCAGGATTACCACAGGGATCTGCAAGCGTCTGACCGGCTCACTACACTCAGGGGAAAGGCAAGACGGACATATAACCAGATTGTGACCGGTATCATCAGTATTAGAACTCCGTGCTGGCTGCTGAAGATGAGGACGAAGCTCGCATGAGAATGCCCCGAGTACTGTGATGTCAGTTCTTATCTCAACTCAACTCAGTTTCGCGGAAAATGATTTTTCACTGAATAAACTGCAGGCTCTGGGTGTACCTCCTGAAGCCGACAGACAGGAAAACCCGTCGTTACATCAGCCAGAACAGAATGGGAGTTATTAGCCTTAAAAACACTTGCATATTACTCAGGAGGAGATTGGAGTACATATAGTCAAGTCCGATGTGCGATGAACGTGATCTCTAAATTGAACAATGAACAATGTCAATCCATGAAACACTTTACATTTTTGTCGAATCATGATTTACCTCATGACAACCGCTGCTGGTTTAAAAGAGTTACCGTGATACATATTTTACCCAACCCCCGCACCCCCTTTTTTTCAAACACATTTTTGCATGCACTTTATCAGAAAATTATGCAACATATTCCGTGGCCTGATTTTTGGACAGACATTGCATAACCGAACTAAAAATACTTTATGCAAACTGCGCACGCAGATGGCCGTGCTCAGCGTATTGGAACTATAAACTGAACAGCAGACATAGATAAAAACAGATATTGACGTGTGTTGATAGGTTTTCATGACCATTCGATTCCCGCGGTGGGTGCTACTGACGATAGAAGAAGAATAACACAGTGAAAGATATCTATCTCCCTACGAGATCTCCCTCCCCCCTCCTTTTTTTTCAGGTAATATTCACAAGGAAAGCAATGCCAACCTATACTGTGGAGACGGCACACATTTTTGTTAAAAATTGTTAAAGCAATAAAGGCACTGGCATCTGCGGCAGCGGGGCTGTGAAAGCAATTTATATATTGGGAGCTAGAAGTGTGTTGTAGACGATCCGGCAGCAAACGGCTTTGCATACTTTTTGACAAACTTACGAGCAAGCTACCGCTTAAAGGTAACATTAGCCAAACTACTAAAAGTAAAACTATCTAAAAACCACACAGTATCAAATAAAGACCGCATCTGATTAGCGAAACCTACAATTTTTTTTTTTCTTTCTTAATTTGGTTACCTCAATTATTTTGTTTTTGAAGGAAAAAATGGGTGGGTGTGGAAAGGGGAGGCTGTTCTGCTGTGTTCTCTTTCTAATGCATTTCCACACCCGTTTATTAGTCGTGTTATATCACTTTTGATGCATTTTATAAAGTTAATTAAACCCATGTATCAACTTAAACTAAATGATAAAGTATACATAAAAAATAAATGTTGACATAAATGGCAGAATTACACCAGAGGCAAATACAGACACTGAAGTCAATTTAATAATTCAGTCCAGGCATTTCTTCAATCCATGCGATAATCGATGCAGAGTGGCTGCATAGTTATCTGATCATCAACACTTCTAGTCCTTTTTATGATGAAATTTTTCGTTATTTTAAGCCCTACTCTGGCTTTTGCCAGGGACCGCAATATAGCCAGGCCATAAATATGGCCAATTGGCTGAACGCGGTTTCTGGGACCTCTCCACGGTGATCCTCATCCATATCGTGGCACTTTGTGTCATCGGATGTTTATCGCTTGTGTGATGTCCTGGTGGGGTAGAAAGTCAGTCAGTCAGTCCGTTATCTGATACCTTTGCCAAAGCCTGGTAAAGACCACACAACACAGGTCTACCGTGTAATCACAATGCAGAATACAACTGGAAAGCTGTTGGAAAAGATGGTCGCCAAGAAAATATCATGTCTTCTTGAGCAGTTAGGCCTCCTTCCACCCACCCTGGGAGGGTATCGCCCAAACAGAGAGTCATGGGGAAATGCAGCGATCTTTGCATTTGATGTTTATGAGGGATTCCACTCGGGGATGGAAACTTGTGCTGCTGCACTTGATCTTGAGGATGCGTACAACAAGGTACCATTTGACTTCTTGATTGGTCAGCATCTTGATCTCAGTCTCAGCCCGTTTCTCATTAGCTGCATCTCATTGGCTATCTTTGAGCGGAAGGTAAGTTTAAATGCGGTAGTTGGACATTTGATTCAGTGTTGCCACTTTGGATGTTTTACATCCAGATTTAAATGTTTCCCTTTGCATTTAGATGAACTAATTAAGTAACAGAAAGATGGCGTTTTTGACGTTTAGACGGTAGATGTTTTTCTAGACGTTTTTCATTTGGGGGTAAATTTATTAAATCTAACCTAAGAAACAGGATGAAATTTGACCTCTTGACAATAAAATTCGGCCTGATAAGAGTAGGAAAAGGCTGTTCCACTTATCAGCTCCCCGATTAGGTAGTGAAAGAAACTGGAACAGCAAAAGCATACCAGAGTCATTTTGGATCTGAAGCTTCAACTTCATCATCCAAGCTAAGTTTATCCTGTGGATCTTGTAAGGCAGACAAGTAAAGATGAGGACATGATTCTATAGGGTAAGTCATATCAATTGCTATGTAATTCGTAACTCTTTCAATTTGGATGTTTTTTCTAGATGTTTTCCCATGCAAATTTAGATGTTTTAGATATTTTTTTACTCCGTTTTGGATGTTTTTTGTCAAAGAATCTGATTCAATAACCATACACCCCAGTCCGCCGCAAGGTGCACCTTTTTCCCCAATACTTTTCAATATTGTCCTCATAAGAATCACAGACGAGCAGATCCTGGGACCGGTAAGGACACTGTCCTATGCTGATGATGTGTTGGTGTACCATCAGGGTAGAGACCGGGAGCAGGTTGCCAAGGGCCCTCAGACAGAACTTAAGCGCACAAGCAGGTGGTGCGATGAAGCCTGAGGGGTCGTCAGTGTGTCAAAGTCAACTGTGACATGGTTTTCGCCGAATAACCATATTATAAATACACCAACACCAACTGTAAGTCTGTGTTCCGAGATCATGGAGAGAGCTCGTTCAATTAAGTATTTAGGAGTATGTTTTTATCGTAGTCTTGCTTTTTATAAGCCTGTGAACCAGGTTATAAAGAATGCAAAGGAGGCTTGACGGCGCTAAGGATTATGGCTGCGCCAAACAGTGAGCAAAGTAACTTATTTCTCTTATCCCAGGGTCTGATACTTTCTGTAATTAAGTACGTTCTATCGATTCTGACTCTTAGACGTACACAGACAGACAGACTAGATCAGATACAGAATGAGGCCTTGTGCATCATACTTGGATGCACAAAAATACAGCATGTAGAGCGATGCGTTACCTCCTTGATCTTCCAACCATGGAAGTGAGAACAGTGATCCCAGGAGTGCGTATCTACCTATCAGTGCTGATACACACAATCCATTGCACAGTGAGATTCGCAAGAAGAAGGGTAGCAGGTTGAAAAGAGGAAAATCATGGGTGGGTCAGGCTGAGTACATTATTCAATAAATGCCGAGACCCGCCAGCAGGTGCCACGGAGGTGGAAATTCAGCAATTAATTCAAGATAATGCTCTCTCAGAGGATTTGATCGTTTACACAGACGGTTCAGTGTCAAGAGGCAAAAGAAGTGCTTGGGGCTTCTTAGCGAAAGTTAATGGTCGACGTTTGAAGCACGAGAGCCTAGCATATGATAACACAACATCCAGCTTAAGAATGGAGTTGGAGGCGGTCACTGCAGCTTTCCGCTGGCTAGAGAACACGACACACACAGACATTGTAATTGTAACTGATTCAGAAAGCATGCTGAGGAAGGTCAGAACAGGTATGCTTCGTGCAGAATTGAATGCTTCGCTGCGGAGGACACGGGTGAGTAGTATTGTCTGGATTTTTTTCACCGGGTGACGCCGCTGTGTTGGAAAATGAACAGGCGGACAGATCGGCTGGCTCTGCACAACTTGGTGGAATACTGATACATGATAGGGCAGACGTAGTTCGTGCCTTGTGGGAGAGCGTTTACAATTCGGAGGAGCAGATGGATCACCACAGTCCGGTGAGATAAGAGATTGATGCAAGGGTGAGTGACAAGAGGTTTTGGCAGATGCTCGAGGCTCAGAGGAAAGGCAAGACGGACGTTTAATCAGAATGCTATTGGTATCATTAGTATCGGAACTCTTCGCTGGCTGCTAAAGATAGGGACGGGGCGCTTATGGAAATGCCCCGAGTGCTGTGATGTCGGTTCTTGACTCAAATCAAATCAAATCAAATCAATTTGTCCCTTTCTCTACACGATCTTATTTTGCAAAACCTTATTTCGTTTCGCCCGTAAACACTTTTGTACCCACCTTGACAAGGGGAGAGAGCTAGAGGTGACAGGGACGAACAGAAAGGACACGCCGCGTTCAGGATCAAAACAAATACATTGAATACTAGACTTCGAAATGCTTACTAGAATAGCACCCCTGCTCAGAGCAGCACCACGTAAGTCTTCACCCTTCGCTGATTTGGCCTAATCTTCGAAATTCACAGTTGTACGTTTTTTTTCTCAGCTGGTAGGCGGACGTGCTCGAACGTCACCTCTGCCGTCGTCCGTCTCTCTACTCTGTCTAGTGAGTTGAGGCAGATAATAAATAATTCATTTGATTTAGTTTAGTGCTGCTGTAAGAATAATATCATAGGGTTTAAAGGAATTACATGCCAAGGAGGGAGAACTTAGAAATTATAGGCCTTCACTAGTTACTGCTAACCACACACTCACAACTCACACAAATATTGAAATATTGATTTTGGTTACTCAGTTACTGCCCAATTCTCTTCCTTCTTAAATTTAGTTCTTAAATAAAGATTAATTCATTAAATTTGTTTTAAAAAATAATATTGTTATTTTATTTATCCTTCCAAGAATTAGCATCTGATACTTTTATTTATTTACTATAAGCATATTGCACAGTTTAATATCTGGCATATTTTGCCACATTTAATCAGATGCATACTAGTAATAGTAATACTACAATAGTCAATAGCAAAATTAAGTTAAAGGCAGCAGATAAGTGATAAGGACTTTTTAACTGAGATACAAATATCCACCATAATGAAACTGTTTTATTTTCATTGTCCATATTAGCGACCTAGTACACTGCTCCGATCAACTCATTCATTCATACTCCATTGTCCCATGCAACAGCCATCTGTGTCTCCATGCTGACTGTTCTCCGCAGACAGTAGGAGTTGACTGGTATATCTTCTTGCTTTGCCCCCTACTTGCGTGTAACTGCTAGAGTGGGTGAAGGCGGTTTTACAACCTTGCTTGATTTAGTCTGACAAAACAAGTGGTACTAAGCAGTCCTCTAGAGTCAATCATCATCATCAGGTTAATTCAGTCTGAGGAATGACTTTCAAGTATAACATTTTCCCATACTTTCATCTGTTTTCACTTCCAGCTGACTAGTGAAAAAAAAAATAATGTGAAAGCTGCTGAGGTTCTTTGAAGAACAATGAGAACACTTTGAATAGATAAAAGGTATAAGGAAGATATATTTAAAGAATGTATTCTGGAAAATCTGGGGGGAACAGTTTGTAGCTCTACTGGCAAATCCGGACGAAGAATAAACAGCCTTGGACGACTTAGTCAGAGTTCTCTCCCTTGGCCGCACTCCCAACAGTGATCGGAAAAGCCACAACGAAACAAACGACACACTTACTTACCTATCATCCTACGGTTGCGTGTAGGGCTGCGTACGGTTGCGTGAGGCATCGTGAAGGGATGCGTGGTCATCATATGGTTGCGTGCAGGGTTTGCGTACGGTTGCGTGAGGCATCGTGAATGGTTGTGTAGTCATCATGCGGTTGTTGGGTTAGAGTTAGGGGTAGGGTTAGGGTTAGGGTTAGATGTGAAAATTTTGACGTAGGATTTCGAAATACTGGCCGACAATCTGATGTTTGTTGGAGTGGCGCCACTGAAACTCTGCCAAATATGACGCCAATAGCGTGCGGCTGGTGCCCCCAATCGTTGGCGAATTGTGCGTTTGACCAGCATCCAGAGGCCCTCGATTGTTTGTGTGTGTGTATGGGACTGTGCGCGATTATAGGGAAATCCGGCGTCAAAATTGTCCAATCTAACGCTAAACCTAACCCTACCTCTAACCCTAATCCTAATCCTACTCCCTAACCCCTACCCCTAACCACACAAATTTATCGATCATTAAAGCATACAAATCGGCAAAAACCAACACACAAAACACACCCAAAAAAACAAACCCCAGATTTGTCCTGCAGCGTCGAAAAAAAACCCAGATCTGGGGGAAACAACCAAGCATTGGCATCCCTGATGTCGACGTGACTGTCTTCTTTGTTTCGTTGGCTTTTCCGATCACTGTTGGGAGTGCGGCCAAGGGAGAGAACTCTGACTAAGTCGTCCAAGGCTTTTTATTCTTCGTCCGGATTTGCCAGTAGAGCCCAGTTTGTAACCAAGCCTAGTACTAGAGGAGGGTTTCTTGACTACTGTTGTTTGCCAGTCCAGTAACCACCATGCTGTATTAGCTGGTATTAACTGTACTTTTGCCTTTTATCTCTTAAAGGAGAAAGGTCTTCTTGGTGAAGTCTTCAGGCCATTTGCCTTGCATGCTAAATGTCATGTGTTTGGTTCACAGGTACAGTAATTACAGATATCCCCAAGGATCATCACTGGAACTACAGAGTTGCTGCTTTGTGCGACACTCTTTGGCAGGTGGCTAGCCATTCTGTGGATAGAAACCAAACTCAGTGGGATAAAATCTGGTGCAGTGAAGTCAATCTTCTCATCTGTTGATCTCTTAAGGGGACATAGGCACTCAACAACTTACTCCAAGTCCTCCTATTCTTTATCTTCTGGTCAACCATAACACAGTGCATTAGAAATGCCACACAGAAGATGCTTAGGAGGCCTCCTTGGCAAAGGGGTCAAGCCGTTTTCCTCGCAATCTGAAGGTCATTTGTTCGTTTCTCAGATGCGTCTTTCCGTTGATGGGTGCAGTTTTTTTCCTGAGATCCCTGGGATCATCACTAGAGCTACAGAGTACATGCATTGTGTGAAGCTGTCGTCGGGCGGCTAGCCATTCCATGGAGAAAGGCCGAGCCATATATGATAACAAGAAGCAGTGGAGTTGATCCTTTCAGCTTTAAGTAACTTTAACAACTCCACAGGGATGAGGTGACCGGATGAAGACAATAAGGAAGCTTTTAAGCTGTAACTTCTCAGTATAGAGTTAATTTATAGTTTGGTACTGAAAAAGTTTAACTCTTCTGGTACCAGAAGGTGTCAGAGGAGATACTAAAGTGAAGAAATAATCATGCAAAATTGTGAATGCTGTATCTTCATTGTGGTGATATACCTTGTTTCCATGACCACTCACAAAGCCAGATTTCTAAAGTATTTTCTGACCAAATGTTAAAAGTAAGAGAGCACATTATGCTATGGAAAGGAATATAAGTATAAATGCATGCATACATCAAACATTGCTTGGGACTGAAAGCATTAATAAATATGATATTAACCATAGTTTTGTTTTATACTTACATGTAATAAACAAAGTTATTTGACTGTTTTGTCTTGAAATAAATGTTTCAGGCTTGCAGCAGTCCCGTCGCATGGGCCATGCTGTACCAGCTCATTGGAAGCCCATACGCCAGATCTGTGAGGAGAACAAAGCCCACATGAATTTCCTACCCGTGCCGGAAGGGTCCTGGCAGGAGGCCTACAATAAACAACAGTCTAAGTGGAATAGACTTCTAGCTCTCAGCGTTTTGTCTGTGGTTGTTACAGCTGTTGCTGTAAGCATGTTTTCACCTTCACATTATGTCTTTGTTTTATATCCTAGGATGCCATTGTTTGTTCTGGGGGAAAGTGGTAGGGGGGATAGACCCACTGCCAGCTAAGGAGCATGTCATAAGAGGCAGCTAATTAGGGGTGTACCCTTTAAAGTCAGAGCGCATCTGCCTCAGAGGCGAGGAACCAACAGTCTGTATATGAATTACCCAGTTGGGCAAAACATATGTTTACGCAAAACTCAAGTTCTGGAACATGACCAGAGTCAAAAGTGGATGAACAACCAGAACTTTCCACTTGAATTTACACTTGGCTAATACTTGAAGATATACTATAAAAAGCACATTCAAACTGAAAGTTATAGCAGGGCTGTTAGCCTTGATTTACAACAGGCCAGGGAGGGAGGACAGGTGCAGCAGGTGGACACACAGCAATACTTGTCTGAGCTGGTAGCTTTCGCAGCCTGCTTTGTTCCAAATGTTTTGTGATTCTTTCCTTATGAATAAACAAGACAGGGCAAGAGAGGAGGAATCAAGTTGCATGAGCAACGTTTAGTCTCTACGATAGTGCTCATCCTTTGTTCTGTAGAGGTGGAACTTCACCCCTGGTATTATTTGGCTGTGAGCCTATTGCTAGCAAACTTTATTTTAGATTTTTATATAAAATGTGGAGCATAGGTCCTCAACTAGCATGGATTATCATCCTATCATTTTTCTGTTTGGCTCACTCCATGTTCTCCCCATCTTTTTGTCTTTCCACTCTCTGATTCCCTTCTCGGAGTTTTTGTGTGTGTCTGCTTTTATTTCTTTGACTTTGCTCCAGTGTAGGAACATTGTAGTTATGACTGATCAGGTTTTCTCAGCATATGCCCTATTCAACGCCAGCATCTTTTCCTCACCTCCTGAGTCACTGGGATTTGTTTAGTTCTCACCCAAAGCTCTGCATTAGTGACTCTGTCATAGCGTTTAATTTCCTTCTATTCTGCACAGGCACTATTTAGTGAATGCTTGATTTTTTTTTTTTAACTGTTTTCCATGTTTCTGCTTTATACATTAGTACACATTTGACAAGTTTTGAGACAAAAACTTGAACATGGAAACATTTATGGAAGTTAAGCTAGAGTAAACCAGGACAAGACAAGACTCTTGACAGCCTCTTGTTAAACTGGCCTAGCGAGCCAACTGTGGATTTATTTTCACTGCAAAGAAAACATTGAGATACCAATGGAACAAATTGTTGTACACTTAATTTGTTGTACACTTTGTTGTAGTACACTGTAATTTCAAGAACCAAGTATTTAGGCCTAGGGCGCCTATTCTAGTACTCCGCTGGATATCTCCTTGATGGATGTGCTACAGTGTAGTCCTGCATACTATAACTGGCCCATTTGGCCCAGCATCATCTAACACAGTTGCTATCTTTACAAGTCAACAATAACAGGCCACATAAACTTTAATGGCATTAAAGTTACACGTCACAAGATGATGATGATTATTCAATAAAACGTACGATAATAACTCCCTATTATCTACTCTGAGAATATAAAAGAATTACACTCTTTTCTCAATGGACTCCTGCCATTATAATAAATAAATAGACATTAAACTGTCTCCCGTGTAAGTACGGTTAATTAAATAAAACCTCACAAAGAGGGAACGTCTGCTTCGAACAAGGGAAATATCTTGACTGCTGAATCCTTTGTGTTCTGCAGGAGCCTTTGTGTTAATCGCCCAGCATTCAATTAGCTGGTATCCCAGGTAACAGACCCGACCGGTGGCCGCTGTGTGAACCTTTCACCTGCGCTGTGACCACTAGAAGAAACTAGATGAAACTTTAACTCTTTGGACAATAAGATTACAACAAAAATTCAAAATTACATACAAAGATATGAAATCAAATGGTTTGCCAGCTTAGAGAAAAACGCCTTTTGATGCCATACCATACAAGACATACACCAAAAGAAAAGGATGTCGAGCAAAAGGGAGACCATGGAAACTTTGGTTGAGGTGGCCTAAAGAGCAGTGAGCAGAACCTTATCTAGGCTGGAGTGTAAAAGAGGAAGCGAAGAAGAAGAAGAAGATGGAATGGTGTCAGCACATAGGCTGATATGTGTTGTTAGAGATTGGAAGCTGTAGGGAAAGTATGACTACCCACGACACTACGACACTGGTACGATACTTGTGCAACTGTGCTGTGGCTTAACAGAGCCAGAGTAACTGCTTTTTGTAGGGACTGGACCAGCGAGTACTAGGACAATATTTTATAAAACAATAATGAGAGTAGAAAATGGAAATATGTCCGAAACATGCTTAAGGCGTGATCAGAAGAGATGCTGTTATTGATCCGAGACATGATACCAGTGAGTGACAAGGACAATCGTATGAAGAAAAAAACCGAGGAGAAAGTGGATTGAAGGAGGCACTGGAGGAGATAAAATCAGGAAGGAAGTCATGAGAGAAAATAGGTCAGCACAGAACCAATACTAAATTGTATACACAAATGACACATAAAATGGTTTGTCCACTTAGAATTCCTTGTGGTGCCATACCATACAAGGCATACATCAAAAGAGGAGAGGAACATATACCATGAGGTAGACCAATAACAATATGGAAAGATAACATCAGAGAAGTTCTTAAACAGCACAAAGTGCTTATGGTCGAGGCAGCTAGAAGAGCAAGAAGCTACTCACATTAAGCTCTTTTATGTGTGCATTTTTTAAAATCTCTGTTATTTGCCATTATCTCTGTACAAATTTGTGTGCGTTATCCACAATGGTGGTAATGTATTAAATGCTAACAATGGGAATATTGCAGGGTGAGGCCCCAATCCCTTGTATTGTGTGGCCTCATTCTCTTCCACAGTGGGACTCTCGCACTATCTGAAAGCCTAGAGACAATATTTTTGTAAACCCTGGTAAACAGGAGATTGCATTGTGAAATTATGTGCCCCAAACATTTCAGTCTTTTTTACCGGCCATCCACAAGCCACTGACTTAACAACAACAAAATCATGTTTTCGAGACATGGTGCTGTTTATGATCTGAGACATGGTGCTGTGTACTATTCTGAATCATGGTGCTGTGTACTATTCTGAATCATGGTGCTGTGTACTATTCTGAATCATGGTGCTGTGTGTTATCCTGAGTCATGGTGCTGTGTGCTATCCTGAGTCATGGTGCTGTGTGCTATCCTGAGTCATGGTGCTGTGTGCTATCCTGAGTCATGGTGCTGTGTGCTATCTTGAGACGTGGTACTGTGTGCTATCCTGAGACATGGTACTGTGTGCTATCCTGAGACATGGTGCTGTGTGCTATCCTGAGACATGGTACTGTGTATGATCCAAGCCATGATGCTGTTTGTTTATGGTCTGAGTCCTGATGCTGTTTATGAATCCTAATTCTTTGACTAGTGTATATTTACTTGTATCTATTTCTGGTTTCAGCTGTGGCAGACTGGAAGTATCTATCTGCATACAGCACCTCCACTGCGCAACAAGAAGAAGGAGTAAGGCTCCCTCAGTGCTGGCTGGCATCTGTGGTGTCAATAGCAACCTCAGTCATATCTTCTGACAACGTAATATTGCCACACTTGGAAGTAGAAAGTGACATGACTGGATGTGTCAGATTGTTTTGTTTTATTGTCTGGTGTTCAGCCTTTTTATGGTGTCACTTGACATGTATCTGAAAGAATAGTAATTGTATAGGACATAAGGTAGTACATTTTTGTGTGTAATTGAATTGTCATCTTACATGACGAATGATTCTCTGCTCTAGACAGTGCTGTTGTTTGAATATCATAGAGGCTTTTACAGTTAGAAGAGTGACCATTCTTTATATAATTTTTTTTAGTCCCAAGCAATACTGGATGTGTTAATGAATTCTAACACTTGGATTACACTCCGTAGCATTATATGCTCGCTTACTTTCTTAATTTTCGGTCAGAAAGCTCTAAAGAAATCTGGCTTTCCCAAACACTGTAATTTGCTACTTTGAAAGTATTGTGTTTGTGATTTTTCACTATGGTTATTTCTTCTCTTTGGTCATTTTTGTAAACCCACTGTCTGACTTAAATTACCAGTAAATTTGTGGGTGTTCTTATCGCGCTGATAGGCACTTTTAGTGTTCCCACAAAAATACACCAATTCAGTTTTGTTAAAAAATGGAACAAAAGCAGTCAGTTAACTGAGAGAGTAATAAGGACCCCCCCCCCCCCCCCCCCCCCACCAAAAAAAAGATGAAAAATCACACTGCAAGTTGTCTTTACATGAATACAGTAAGAAAGAGTATGGATGTTGACCTTAATATCTGGAAAAACATACAACAGAAACACAGTTAGTTGATAATTTTTATTACCAGTTGTTGTAGGTATGGAAAACATCTGGCATTCTGTTTTAATTGTCAAATATGGGAAAACATTTGGAATTCTGATTACATTGTTGTCATGTAAAACATTTTGAAATATCTTTACAGTTCCTATAGGTGTGGAAAACATTTATAATTCTGTTTACATTTCCTGTAGGTGTGAAAAAAAGTTAAAATTCTGTTTAAATTTCCTGTAGGTGTGGGAAAACATTTAGAATTCTGTTTACAGTTGTTGTAGAGAATTTTTTTTCTTGTTGTCACAAACAAATTTGAGATTTGATGTCAATATCATTGGTATCAGATTATACATTTCATTTAGCCCCTTTATTTTGTAAAACTTTACAGGTCTGTATTAATATTGATAAATACTTTATATGATTGATTTGATAGAAAACTTAGTAAATGTTGCGATGGTTTGCTTATCTGACGTAATAAATTAATAATGGAACATATTTGTGTTGTGTTGTTTTTGATAATGTTTGGAGTATTGCCTATTTATTTCTTCTTTTGTGACCCCCTGTCTTTAACCCTGTTGGCCTGAGAAGCCCCATAATCGACACTTTCTGTTTGATTCTGTTCCAAGTAAATGTCAATTTTTCTACCTGTCTAGAGTGATGTGCTTTCCTGACGCATAGATAATGCTGAGTTTAAGCCTTTATGAATTCATGACATGAATATATTAGCTAAAGATGGGGGGGGGGGGGGGTGTTGCAAATCCAAATGGCATTATTTTTTAAAAGATGTGTTGCATAAAATTTCACCACAAGCGCCACGGGGTCATTCATGTCTTGAGCTACTTATTTATTGTTATTAGACCTGAGAAAGTATCTCATTTAATGCTTCACTCTGTTCGTGTTCATTGATAACTTGTAAAAAAAAATACATGAGTGACCTGTATTAATTTTTTAAGGATTTTGTGTGAATTCACAGTTACAAGGGCATCTGGATTAAAAGGGCAGATTACACAATTGTTGTTGTCAATTACAGTTGCAGTATCTGCTCCTTTCAGCCTAAGATTTTCGATTTTAGAAGATCCTTAATTGCCTTTTCCTACATGCTGGTTAAGAGGCAGTATGCCTAATATTATAATTATTATAATTTTGGAACCACAGAATGTCCTTATGAACCCACAAATAGGATTCGATGAAATTGCTATTTCTTATATTATACGTTGCCATGCAAATTCACACACAAAATCCTTTAAAGAAAACAATAATGGGGTAGGCCAGGAATCTTGTTGGAAGTTATAAACAGACTTCATTTTGTAGATTTTACAGAATTAACAGCTGAAAATGCAAAAGACCTGCAACAACTATTAGACATTGTGGTACTAGAGAGTGCCAAAAAAAAAAGGGACTCTCCTTGAATGTCAAGGAAAACAACCAATGGTTACATCAAAGAATAAAACTCCTAAATGTGACATAGCAATAGAAAGGAAAGAGCTTAACCAAATCAATAAATTCAAGTATTTGGGGACATTCGTAACATCAGATGGATAGTGTGTGACAGAAATTAAGAGCAGAATTGGCCAGGCAAAATAAAGTTATCTTATTCAATAAATCACTCTCATTAAACAAGAAAATGAGCACAGAATGAAATTTTGCATCAAGCCTATTCGGTTGTACGGCAGTGAATCTTGGAATGTGAAAAATCAAATTGAGTCTGGGGGCAGCTGAGATGTGGTTCTTGAGGAGAATGTTGCGAGTACCTTGGACTGCCAGAATAACTAACATTGATGCCTGGATATGGCTAATGAAAGTAGTACATTATATACAACGACGAGAAAAAAGACAAAAGTTCTTTGGTGATGTAATGAGAAAATATTATGACTGGAAAAATCACTGGTAGCAGAGGCAGATCAAGAGAAATGATGGCTCAAGACAGTGGCTGGTAGAAGAGGCAGACCAAGAGAAATGATGGTTCAAGACAGTGGCTGGTAGCAGAGGCAGACCAAGAGAAATGATGGCTCAAGACAGTGGCTGGTAGCAGAGGCAGACCAAGAGAAATGATGGCTCAAGACAGTGGCTGGTAGCAGAGGCAAACCAAGAGAAATGATGGTTCAAGACAGTGGCTGATAGAAGAGGCAGAGGCAGACCAAGAGAAATGATGGTGCATGGTTCAAGACAGTGGCTGGTAGAAGAGGCAGACCAAGAAAAATTATGGTGCATGGCTCAAGACAGTGGCTGGTAGCAGAGGCAGACCAAGAGAAATGATGGTGCATGGCTCAAGACAGTGGCTGGTAGAAGAGGCAGACCAAGAGAAATGATGGTGCATGGTTCAAGACAGTGGCTGGTAGAAGAGGCAGACCAAGAGAAATGATGGTGCATGGCTCAAGACAGTGGCTGGTAGAAGAGGCAGACCAAGAGAAATGATGGTGCATGGCTCAAGACAGTGGCTGGTAGAAGAGGCAGACCAAGAGAAATGATGGTGCATGGCTCAAGACAGTGGCTGGTAGAAGAGGCAGACCAAGAGAAATGATGGTGCATGGTTCAAGACAGTGGCTGGTAGCAGAGGCAGACCAAGAGAAAAGATGGTGCATGGCTCAAGACAGTGGCTGGTAGCAGAGGCAGACCAAGAGAAAAGATGGTGCATGGCTCAAGACAGTGGCTGGTAGCAGAGGCAGACCAAGAGAAAAGATGGTTCAAGACAGTGGCATTGGGGAATATCATCAGTTGCAGAACAGCAAAGACCGAGATCTGTGGAGATGCATGAATGCCTATGCCAGCTAGCAGGGCTTTTGAAGATGATGATGATGATGAAGCTTTTCACATGCAGTTTTTTTTCCATATTGTCTTATTTTTCGCTCATAAGGCTAGTGTCTACTCCAAATATCTGTTTTGTTGTTGACTTTTTGTAGTCTGTGCACTATGGTGCTAGTAATAGTAATCATGTCTGTCCACATCCTTGTGGCCTGTGTACTGCCAGTCATTTCTGATACAGATTTTGTTCCAGACTATGATGGCTAACTGATATTCTCTCTCTGGGGCTTCTGTTTACCTTCCTCTTGTCATAATACACTTTTCCCCTTCCTTCTCATGACATGTCCAGAGAATTTGGATTGCCCTCTTCCTATCATTTTTTTTTCTGGCTTTCTCAGCATCTTTGGCTACTTATTTATATGCAGACTGGGTTCCTGGCCTCTCAGGTAGATGTACTCCAACTTCGAAGGAAACACTCCTCATTTGCACCTTTTACAACATGTGTCCCCCCCCCCCACCCAAATAGGGCACAGGAACCCATACAGGGATAATTATTGATTTCAGAATCGACATCACTATACACATATATACTCTGTCTCCTTTCAGTACACGTGTATAGAGACTTTTGTCATCTCTCTGACTCACAAAAAACTAACACAACCACAGGGTACACAATTTTAGCTGTCATTTATTTATCTCCCCCTTGTGCAAGTGGCAGCTTGACTCTTGACCACACTACTTTAGTTGTCTGGAATACCATCATTATCCTGAGCCGGACAATACACCTCCTGGAACACTATCATCATGTGACAGGCAATTCACTCTCACCAACACAGCTTTATATAATAAAACCGAAGCACACAGTCCCCACTTCTGCAACAATAAATGACCCATCCTTGAATTAAGCCTAACAATCTCAGGTAATCTTTTGAAGTCAGAGTGCACCTGCCTGAGAGGCACTGAACCAACGGTCTGCATACAAACAAGCCAGATCCTTCCACCTTGGTTTACACCCAGTGAACGCAAAGAAGAACAAGCAGTTTCTCCAATTATCCCAGCAGCACTTTCTGGCAGATAAATCCTGCATCTTTTCCAACACAGAACTGATCATGAGAAAAATATCACAGGAAGGTCAAGGACAGCTTTCACACCCGGAAGCGTACAGGGTAGGGTATATGGTGCCAGTCTCATAACCTTAGGCCAACCAAAGTGATGATGTCAAAACCTGGTTGTCTCCTTTACCTCCCAGGACATTTTTTAGTGCCCATTTTAGGCTGGGCCAACCTAGTAGCCTTGGTCAATAGGGGGGTGGGGATCGGCACCTCGAAGGGAAGCCAAAATATATAACTTCCAGTCAGGCAGGCAAATGAACTAGCTACTACTCCATTTTGCCCCACCCCCATGATCCAAAAATACAGACATAATATGATGATGAAAATGGATATGAT